GGAGGTCAGAGGACTCATCGCACCAAGTGACCAAGGGAGAGTCGGGAGGGATAGGGTCCACGGTCAGAGTGAAACCTTAGAAATGTTGACTCCCGGCCTGGCACAGTGGCTCACGCCTGTAACATCCCTGCACTTTGGGAGGCCAAGGTAGGTGGATCACGAGGTCAGGAGATCAAGACCATCCTGGCTAACATGGTGAAACCCCATCTCTACTAAAAATACAAAAAAAAAAAAAAATTAGCCGGGTGTGGTGGCAGGTGCTTGTAGTCCCAGCTACTTGGGAGGCTGAGGCAGGAGAATGGCGTGGACCTGGGAGGTGGAGCTTGCAGTGAGCCGAGATCGCGCCACTGTACTCCACGCTGGGTGACAGAGCCAGACAAGGAAAGGAAAGGAAGGGAAAGGGAAAGGGAAAGGGAAAGGGAAAGGGAAAGGGAAAGGGAAGGAGAGAAAAGAAAAGATGACTTCCAGCCAGGTGCCATGGCTTACACCTGTAATTCCAGCACTTTGGGAGGCTGACCCAAGTGGGTGGATCACTTGAGGTCAGGAGTTAGAGATCATCCTGGCCAATATGGAAACACCCCATCTTTACTAAAACTACAAAAATTAGCCAAGTAAGGTGGCGCACACCTGTAATCCCAGCTACTTGGGAGGCTGTGGCAGGTGAATCACTTGAACCTGGGAGGCGGAGGTTGCAGTGAGCTGAGATCATGCCACAGCACTCCAGTCTGAGCGACAGAGCAAGACTCCATCTCAAAAAAAAAAGGGGTAAAAAAAAAAAAGAAACGTTAACTCCGGAGGCAGAGTCGTCCTGAATAGTGACAAGACCTCGGGTGTGGCTGCAGGAGGCTGTGGGCTGAGGGGGCCTTGGAGAGGAGGGGCCCAGTTGGTGGGTTCTGGCCAGGCTGCTGCAGGTCAGCTACCAGCCAAGTCCTCAAGGGTGATGGCACCAAATCCCACCCCCTACACTGGACCCTGAGTCCCACAAGGGCGGGGACTGGCCTGCTGAGTCATGGTGCTACGTCACATCTGAAGATTCTCAAACATCTGCTGAATGAGTGAATGTGTGGGAGGACTTTGGGTGCAGAAGAGAGTGGGCCCCAGGGCCAAAGGCTCCGATGAGGGAGGGAACATGAGTGGGAGCTGTCCGGGTGACAGCGATGGGAAGGGGCAGAAAACAGCTGGCTAGAGAGTGTGACCCTCAGGAAAAGGGCCCCTGGCTGGGCGGCAGAAGCAGTGACCAGCAGAGAGGAGGCCACTGGTCTCCCCCAACCCTCCTGTGAGGACGCCACCATATTTGTCACGGCAGGTCTTCTGGGCGCCCTCTCAGCACCTCACACACCTGGCCCTCTCCCTCTCTAAAATGCTTCTCCCTCTCCTTGGCATGGACGACTCTGTTTCTGCCTTTAGGACTCAGCCCACTTCACCTCCTCAGGGGACCCTCCTCTGACAGCCCCCATGCTCTACTGTTCTGTTACTGTATCCTGTTTGGTTCCTCAATAGCACATTTTATGTGCATCTGCAACATCATTATATAGAAAATATTAGTACATTTCACCTGGACTGTGTGGCTGGCAGAATAGGCCCCGCCCACCAGCACCAAAGAAGTCTCTATTATAATCCCCAGAATACGTGAAGATGTGACCTTACTCGGCAAAAGGGACTTTGCAGCTGTGATTAAGTTAAGGATCTGGATATGGGGGGGATTACTCTGGATTATCCAGGAAGGCCCAAAGGAATCACAAGGGTCCTTATGAATGGAAGAAGGAAGTTAGAGAGAGAGATTTGTGGATCCTATGCTGCTGGTTCTGAAGATGGAGGAAGGGGCCATGAACCAAGGAATGCAAGTGGCTTCGAAACGTTAGAAAAGGTAAGGAAACGGGTTCTCACCATAGAGCCTCCACAAGGAACCAGCCCTGCCAAGAACTTGATTTTACCCCACTGAGATCTATTTCAGACTTCTGACCTCCAGAACTATAGGAGAATAAATGTGTATTGTTTTAAGCCACTAAATTTGTGGTAATTTTTTGCAGTAGCAATAGGAAACAAATACGGCTATAGGGCTTTCATTGGATTTTTTTGGGTTTTGTGCTTTTTTTTTTTTTTTTTTT